AGAGAAGTCGTATAAATAAAGACTTTAACTTATATAAAGTTTTATACTACCTATAAGAGGTTTAATAAGTTAAAGATAAGGTTCGATACTAGATAATATATAGGCTCGTACGCGTTCTCGAAGCCGGATATAGGTTTTTAAATATAGCCGAATTATATCCTCCTTCGTCCGAAGCTATCCATCGAAACCTAATTCATTTAATATAGCTTTATATTATTCTATAATCTTTATCGTTATAAATTCGTCGATTTCGATATCCTTTAAAGGTATATATATAACCTATACGGCTTCGTACGTAGCCGAGCCTTATTTAATAAGGATTCTATAATTCGGAACCTTATTTATATTATAGAGGTTATATGGAATACCTAGTCGTACGTATAATCGGTTCTTCTGCGTTCGAATTTAATAGCTATTTCATACTTTAATAAACTCTACGAATTCTCTTTAAAGTATTAGGCTATAGATTATATATACCGTAATAAGGTCGATAAAGTCGGACGAGATAAATAAACCATTATTAATAAATTCTATTTTAAATGTCTAGGTATATATTAGCTTCGGACGAAGAAATATATAAATATAACTTATAATTTATTTATTAGTACTACCTTTACGGAATCGCCGAAACTAAGACTCGATCTTAATATTATAAATACTAGGTCCCTATATATATATTAAAGATAAACGATTTCCTTATCGATAAAACCGCTAAATACCTTCTTTATCTTCGTACGGGATTATAGTTTTACTAGCTTTAATTAAAGTAGCTTAAGTACCGGTAAAAAGTAATATTTCGATACTATAATCGGCGCGAGTAAAGCATAGCCGAACCTCGCTAGTAATAATCGTACGTAAGTATTACTTTAATATATTAATAACCGTAGTTATAAAACGTTTAATATATATCTAAATAATAAGACGAGAATATATATTTATATATATATATATTTAAAATTAAAGTTAGGTTAAATATATTTAATACGTACGAAGGCATACCTAAAATCTAAAGTCTATTAACTTAGCATATGTAATAGGCTGTACCCATGATAGGGCCCTGGCTAGTACTAGGGCTTAGTACGTGATCAGTACCTACGGCGGATAAGGCTAGCTATCGTAAGTGCGGCTTATAGGGCATACTTTCTTCCTTTTTCTCTTCGTTTAGCTTTAGTTTATTAACATACGGCTTTTACCTAGCGAATAGCTTTTAAAAACCGTAATAAAAAGCTAAACTAACCTTCTTTTATCGTTTTACGGAAGTAATAGCATCGAAGCGAGCGGAATTAGTAGTAGGAACGGCGATATAGCCCTTAGAGAAGCGGTACTAAGCTAGTAGTCGGAAAGGCGGTATTAGTTTTTAGATATACGCGCCGGTAACCCCTACGAAGAGAACCGACGATAGTAGTAGTATCTTATACGCGGGATTAGTAGTAGGAAAGGCGATGTTAGCGTTTACGCCGGTTAAGTTAGCAGTCGGAAAGGCGGTATTAGCTTTTAAATATACGCGCCGGTAGTAGCCTACGGACGAGGACCGATAAAATAACCGAAGAAACGACCGATAGCCCCGAGAAAACGTAGTTTAAACGGTAATTTCGAGATAAAAGAACGACGAAATCGACGAAATTTACGGCTAAAAACGGCGGAAAATTTTTTTCCGGAGAAAGATAATAAAGCGTTAAAGCATAGCGCTCGTCGACGAGTTAAGAACGCCCGAGGCGTAATATAAAGAAGGAACGGCGTTAGAATAATAGGAAATACGATAAGGTTTCGGCTAGAATAATAGTACTTTAATAAGGGTACTAGAGGTACTAGCGGTTTTCGGAGAAACCACCGGTTTCTCGGTAGCATCGACAAGGGTACTAGCGGCGCTAGTAGTAGACGGGAGGGCGCGCCCTCGCGCGCCTTTAGGCGGAGCCCTTTAGACTCCGCTAGCGGTATACGATAAACGATAGTCTTTAAACGAATAGGAACGGCGTACCTTAATACGTCTTCCGGCGGAGCCTCGCGGCTCCGCTAGTAGTACGGATAAGCTCTTAGCCTTTAAACGGAAGGATAGGCCCCTAGCCTTTAAACGATAGCAAACGAAAAAGCGCGCCTTAGTACGCTCTTAGGCGGAGCCCTTAGCTCCGTTAGCGAACGATAAACGATAGTTTCTAAACGAATCGGAGGCGTACTTTAGTACGTCCCCTAGCGGAAAATAAACGAAGATCTTTAAACGGCGGCAAACGAACCGACGATCCCGTAGCTACGGGAACTAGGCTAGACCTAATAGGCGCCGATAGCGACTTCGTACGCGGGGCTTTAAAGCTTTACGGTTTAATAAGAGGATCGGAACTAGCCCCAGGGGAGTAATAATACCTTAGGAAGAAAGAGAAAGCCCCGGGAAATAGTAGCGCCCCGGGAAACGAAGATAGCAGCCCGGGGAACGGATAACGTAACCCGGGAAACGAAAATAGCGGCCCTAAGGAAATGGCATACTAAGGGACTAGATAGTATCCGGAACGCCGGTAGTACCCTAGGAAAAAAAGGAAGGGCTTTCGGGAGGGAGTAGCTACCGGGAAGGCGTACCTAGTAAGCGAAGAAACCCGGGAGACCTACGGAAGAAAAGGAGGGAGGAAAAAGAAAAGGAGATCCCGGGGAAGAGTAGGACCCGGGGAAAGAACGCCGGAGGGCTAGAGGCGCCCGGTATAATACCCCGGGAAACGAAAGGCCCCGGGAAGGAAACGGCGGAAGGGAAGACCCCGGGATATAGTATAACCGCCGGGGAAGAAAGGAAGGAGGCTATACCCGGGGGGCATTAATACCCCGGGAAACGTACGAACGGAAGGAGCCCTAGGGATATATTAATACCCTAAGCGGCGGAGGTAGTAACCCGGGGAGCGAGTAGCGTACCCCGGGGAACGGAGGCAGTACCTAAGGATACGGTACGTATCCTAAGGCGCGAAGAAAACGGGTTAAATTATTAGGGCTAAACGCCGAAGAAAAAGGGCGGTAGGGCGTACTTTTTTTTTTTTTCCGGGAAGGGACCTTATATAATAGGCTATGCCTATGGTAAGGCCCTAGCTAGTACTAGGGCTTAGTACGTAATTAGTACCTACGGCGGATAAGGCTAGCTGTCGTGAGTACGGCCTATAGGGCATACTTTCTTCCTTTTTCTCCTCGTCTAGCTTTAGTTCATTAACATACGGCTTTTACCCAGCGAATAGCTCTTAAAAACCGTAATAGCATAGCTATCTAAGGACCATAGTTAATTTAAACCGGGAACCTTAAAGTTTATACGAAAGGTTTAATTAGTATAGCGTCGGTAATTAACTTAGTCGGGATATAGTTCTTTATATATCCTATAAATACGGTTCTTTCCCATAAGGATACCGGCTTAAGATCGTATAAACTTATAAAAGTATAACCGTTTATAATTCTTTATCGAAGTATTATAGGTAGTATAATTTTAGATAAACTCTCGGGCTTATTATAATATAGTATCCCTTTTTTCGTCGGTACGGTATCGTCGTTTTATACCATGCTTTAGTCGTATAATCTATAATCCTCGCGGATTTAATTTAATGCTATCTCGATATAGGTTTCGTATAATAGAAGTATCTTTATATCCATAATAAAAAATAAGGTATCGAATTAATTAGATAACTTCATTAGTAATAATCGTCCGAGGCCGTTAATATAGTTCTTATTCTTTTAATCTTCTTTTTAATATACGACGAATTATATTAATATAGCTAGTTAAGTAGGTATAAATAAAATTAATCGATTTATTAACTAACTAGCGATTAATAATCTCCTGCTTAAAATTATTAATCGAAGACCTCGGACGAACCATATTAATACTTTAATAGAAGCTTAATTTAATTTAAAAGAGGGGTAGAATTTTTATTATAGCCTTATAATAGTAGCCTTATTTTTTAGGAGGGGGAAATCGAAATTCCGAAATTCCGAAAATCGTTTTATCGGATACGCACTAATAGTATACCGTAGACGTCAGAGATTCCCTAACATCGCGTAGTCTTACCACTCCCTCAGCCGATGCCGTCCCGCCGCGTGAGTCACTCGCCCTGGCTAGCCGTCGCCGACATGCAGGGATCCAGAAGGGCGCCGGGGGGGGGGGGCTCTTTATGGAGTATAGAACAACCGTAAGCGATGGTCTGACCTCGCTTTTCGAATCGCCCAGGTTGTCGGATTAGATTTCGAGGAGGGGGAACCGTATGGCACAGCCAGTAATCGATCGCATTAGGCAGTATGCCGCTTACCTACCACCGCACATCCGCTCTGACGCGGCAGGGCTGCTCAGGTCGGCTCACCGCCCGGAGTTTCGTACAGATTGTGTACCTGAGTTGGCCATGCAATCGACTCGTTGACCAAGTGCAGGGGAACTACCAGTCACCCAGAGCTTGCGGCAGCGGGGTCCTCCATGATCGCAAAGCCCGATTTCCCCTATTGAATTGCTGGTTGAAGACTGGTACAGCAGTCATTTAGGGTATTCTGGGCTGCCCAAGCTCTTAGATGGGGTCTAATTTAGGAATGCCCGCTCACCCTGTGCGTCCCATCTCATCGGAGTTTAGGGGTGGCTGTGAGGGTAAGCAGAGGAAAAGTACATACGAACAGAGTAATCTACGGTCGGGCATATAATCGCAAACAGAGCAGATCGAAAATGGCGATCTTGAATCGTCAGCTTCGCCTCCCGCTGAAACGAAGACCGAGTCACCGGGCGGATATCGAATCACAACAACCCCTACTCGTCGTTGTACTGCGTAATGCGGAGAGTAGGAACGCGATGCCAACACGCGATACAGGCAGGCATACTCTAGTACCGCTGGGGATATTGGAATTCTGTACATGCTGGACAAAGACAGCTCTTAAAACACGACGCGTCTACAGCCCCCGTAATGGGGGGGGACGGATCAAGGCCACAACGATAAAGACGATAAACGCGGCGCGAGAGCCATAAAAGCCCCCTAGCACAGGTCAGATATATATGCTCCCCTCAAACCATGATGCGGATCCCTAGTCCATGAAAGAATCTCGCGACACTGCAATCGTCCGGTCATCTGAGCCTTCCAGCCTCCTCTTGGCCATATTCCAACTCCGTACTCCTTGCGCGGCCCAGGACCGGGTTCTCGTGCCGATGAACAATCGTACTACTCCATCACCTCGTCGACCCTCACAAGCGTCGGTATCGGCTCGTACTCGTCCTCATTCATGTCCTCCGCCTCCTTGCCTCCGTCGGGGCCGCACACCATGTCGCGATACAATTGGAATATATAAGGGACACCAAAGCGGCTGGCCCATCCCTCGTCCTCGGCCTGCCCGCCATCCTCGCCATCGGGGACGCCGTAATCGTTCTTCTCATCATCGCCATCGCCGTCACGGTGGTGGTTCCTCTGGTGGAGGTGGCGGAGGTCCTCCAGCTCCTTGAAACGCTGCAGCAGCCCCGACTTAAGCGCCGGCAGCGTGCCCTCGACGCCGTGTTCGTAGTTCTCTAGCTCCACCATCCCCAGATCTTGAATGTGCTGCGCCATCGTTTTCCACCGAGCGTCCGCCGCCTTCGCACCCTCGCCCTCCTCCGCCCCGTCGCTTCCCGCCCCGCACACCGCCGCACGCGCGAACCACGTCCCGTGCCGGAGCACGCACTCCTCGAAAACCATCGCGCGCTCGTACACCTCGGGGTCCGTCACCACCGCGGCCCCGGCGCGGCTGAGGTACCCGAGGCCCATGGCGTTAACGCAGACGTACAGGATGGCGAGGTCTAGCAGTGGCAGGCTGCGGATGTAGGCCCGCTGGAGCGGCCGCGCGGGGTAGTTCGTGTACGGGTCGACGTCGCGGAAGCCGGCGGGGGAGTAGTACGAGGAGGACGGCGAGGGAGAGAGCCGGCTGGCCATCGCGTCCTCGTAGAAGCCGATGCCGAGCAGGCGGTACCACTTGGGCGCAGCGGCAGCGCACGGTGGATTTGCGGCGATGTCGGCGAGCTGGTTGCACCGCATGAGACCCTGGCGGAGGAGAGCGCGCATCCGCGCCTGCTGCGCCAGGTCGAGCGGCCCGAGGCCCGGCGGCGTGGTGAAGTTAACGAACCGGGCGGCGTCGCCAAGCACGTCGTCGCACTGGCGCTCCCGCCGCTCCAGCTCCTCCACCATCTCGAACGTACCGTAGCGCAGCGGCCGCCGCAGCCTGTACTCTGACGACAGCACGTCGCCCGCTGGCGGCAGCGTGAAGCTTGCTATGCGGGCCCGGCAGATGGAGTACTCGTACGAGCTGATTATCTTGTGCATTCTCTGTGCCGAGAGTCAGCCATCGTGTTGATGTAAGGGAGAACAGAAGGGCTACAGGCCGATAACCCTTTTGGTGGGGGATCTTACCCTGTTTGTTGCCCTCAGATTTCTCGTCGAACGGATGTCCATCCGCTCCACGACAGCTAGAATGACTTCTGGCGGGAAAGTATCCATATCGCTATGGTGTCATGAAGAGAGAGGTTTGAGTGTGGGGCAACGAGCTGGCGAGAAGGAGATGGTCGACGATGGAATCGGGGATTAAAACAAAGGTCCGCCAGATGGGACAGAGGATGAGTTGCCCAACGGCCAGGGAGAAATATGCCTGGTCGAACCAATAAAGAAGCCGAGAAATGTATCGAGGGTCTAAGTGTATTTGTATGTCCTTGGCAGATCGCCGTGGGGGGTGGGACAATGGAAGAACCGGCGGGCCAGTATGGTGTAGTAAACAGCTAATACCTACCTAGGTAGTTATGCTGTTAAAAGCACCAACTGGAGTTGGGCAACGAGTAGTCGAATCCACAGCATGAAAGGTTGAAGGAAGAAGGAGAAGGCCGCGATGGACGTCTTATGAGTCGGCCAGAACAGGCGCAGAGGCCGCGCTTGACTGGTGCGCACCTTGATGGCTGCCCGCCCTGGCCATCTCTGCTCTTTCAGCGAGGCGATTGACAAAAGAGCCATCAAGGTCAGTGCTTACTGCTAGGTAGCCAGGCAGAGTCTCCTTACTGTATTATCTATCGATGTTCCTTGGCGCAAGCAGACACCGACAATGGGTTGTTGCGCAACATGGCCAAGTACCCAAAGTGGTGATGGCAACGGGATGGCATCAATAGTACCCCTACCTGCCAACCAGATGAGATTCTGTGATTAGTCATCGTCACCTCGCTGCCTCTCAGCAGCCCCCCTGGCGGAACCAGATCAGGGGTAAAGGAGGCTCGGGAACAGCTACCATGGCCATGTCACGTATACAGTTATGTGTCGGTGGCGGTAAGAAAACTGCCACGGGCGAGCCGGCAGATCCCAGATCGGATCGTTGCCTAGGGCGTTGGGATCGAATTGCGCCGCTCGGCAGAGGGAGCATTTCCTAGGGAACCCGCGTCTCGGGCGCCTGGGAAGCTATAGTGGATGCGTAGCGCGTGTGCGTGACATGCCCGTACCCAAGTCTTCACATTGTATGGAGCCGTTGCGCTCGGGCAAGATGTGAGATGGTGGTCACCCTTGACATGCAGCCCCTATTTAGCTGTACTTGCCCCTGTCACTCTCGTGGGAATGGAGAAAATAGGATAGGATCGGCCCAGGTGGCGCGTGCCGCCTGGATACTTTCAGCGCCTCTTCGCTCGCTGTGTAATCACAGCTCCTACTGTCATCGGGTTACGCGACGGGTAGGTATGTCGCGGGGGAGGTATTATCTCGAGCACAGGTCGGATCATCCGAACGCGTCGGCTTGTCATACGCAGATGAGTGATTGGAGTCGTCAAGTTCGCTGCGCGTAGTCGCGGCTGGCCTTCGACTTCCCCTTATCATCCGTGTCCGCTGTCTATCGACGTCGACGCATGTTCGCGTGGCACGATTGCTTCGCGTAACCCGCATCTGGGTGCGGCTTTCCGAGCGGGGGATTAGAGCAGGGCGCCGGCAACCTCATGGTCTTCAGGAAGTTTTCGTCAGTCACACGGGGTCGTAGCTTTGTTTTCGAGCCCTCTGGTCTTGCGCTCCCGGCTCTCATGTTCTGTCCTCGTGTTCTGGGTTGGAGAGGGAGGGAGATGGGAGAAGGGAAACGATGTGAAGAAGGAAGCGAGAAGGAAGGGGACGGGAAAGGAATCCAGGTTGGACCTCTCTCTCCTTTCCCCCCATCTATCCGATTTACCCCAGATCGGCATTACATAAGGAGGAGAGCCGATGGGGCGCTAGGCCAGGAGGGAAATTGTCCCCCTGCAGGATCTCCAGGGGCCAAACTGGAAGACGATCGAGCATCTTCCAAGTTGTCAACGTGGTATTCCCAGCATTCCCAGTATTTCCTCTCAGCTGTCCTGGCCAAGGCTAGGTGGGATCGGGTAAGCGTCTTCCGTATTTATCTCCATTGCATTGCATATCTGGCACATGGATGTCCCGTAGGCAGGCATGCTTGTTTATAACTCGTTACGACAGCTGGTAACGAGATCCCTTCGCAAGGTTCTGGTAACGGGGGGCAGGGCAAGGCTCTACCATATCGCATCCAAGAAAGAAACGAAGCCGCGGATCGGCGGCCATGGGTACGCACCGCGGATCGCGAGGGGAACTGTGAGCAAGGTATATACACAAGGTAAAAGACATTCAGGTCTTGCTAGAATTGGGTTACTATGGGCGATAGGCATTCTACATAATGTAGGAGGCGCCTAAGGAGGTATGTGCCTACATTATCGTAGGTACCTGAGTGAGAGGTAGTGTGCTGGGAGGAGGTACCTGCGGACCGAAAGCAGTACCTGGATCTATGCGTGCTCGCCACGGAGGTACCTGGTAGCGGGTACCTGATGTATGCACGCACATATGGATAAGGCACCTCAGCGTGGGTACCTACCTAGAGCTATATATTAGCAGGGAGATGCGGATATTGCTAGCCGAAGTGGTACCTCGACGACGGGTCTCATCAAGCCATCAACGCCGACAACCATCATCTTCGTCATTCCTCAATTTATTGCCCTCCCCAACTCCTCCTCCAGTCCCGTATGGGCCCATACGCATCTCCCTATCGCCGGCAGCACCTTGACGATTGCTTCCGCGAGTCTATGGCTTACCGCGATCGACCCTCCTTCAATTGACCGTTCCTCCTTGTTTGGCTGGCAACTCCGTCCACAACTCAACATCCCTCTTTTTCTGCCTTTTTCTTCTTTTTTGGCTCTCCCTCCCTCCAACTTCCCCCTCCAGCCACTTCCGTCCATCCCGTCTATCCCTGGATACCTACTTACTTACGGTGCTGCCGGGCCTGCGAGGCTGTCTCTCTGTACATGCCTACCTACGTGTGCCTTGTACTGGATCGTACGTGTGCGCGTCCTGTCTGTATGCGCTCTGTATGCGCCGAGCGTCGCATTTAGCCGCCTAAAACCCAAAAACCGTCTCGCCTCTACTCCGTCTCTGCCAGATCGCCATTTCAGCCCTGCCAACCGTCAAATCTTCGCTGCCTCTGGGTTTGAAATCCCACACTAAAGTTGTCTAGCTTCGTCTCTCTCCCTGTCTCTCGCTCTCCGCGCCTGTGCCCGAATTCCAACCCTTCTTCACCCGATCCAGCGTGGGTGGCCTGCTCACCAGCTGACTATCGGTCGGCTGGCATCTACCGCGCTCCTTGTCGATACCGTTTTCTCTACCACGATACCGGGGCGTGATCCAACCAGCCGTCCCGATAGACGCCTCGCCCAGATCACTACGACACCCGCCGGCGTACCGTCCTCCATTAATAGCCGCCCTCGCTGTCCTACTCTATCCGAGTGTCCCAACCATATGCATAATCCCTTTCTGGGAACTCACCTCTGCTCTATTCGTTCCACATAATTTTACATTCCGCTATCCTCCCCAATCCCATCATGCCTTCCCCTAGAAGAGTCCGCTTCCTCATGACGGTGGTGCTGGCAGTTGTCATCACCACCTTATTCTTCACGTCTCAGATGCGATCCACAATCCCCCACGACAATCGAACTGTCCAAGACTTCTTTGGTAGGACGATGAATGGCCTGAACCATCAGAAAGATCGCGACCAAGTCATAATCGGCGGCACTGGCGCCACCACCGTCGAGTCGACAGTAAGAGATAAGGATGGGGATGGTTCCGTCGACGAGGATGACGAGCAGCTGGCAAGGGAGATGGCCGAGCGGCTACGGGCGGCCGAGAAGAAGGCGAAAGACTTAGCCAACTCCAAGGCACCCTTGAAGCCCGATGCGCCGAGCGATGTCATCGGTGTCGGAAGCTCTGCCGGTGGCCAGACAAAGGATAAGGTTAAAGGCGGCTCAGAGGGACCGGAGAAGGAAGAGGGAGAATCAGAGGAGGACCACGAAATCGAGGTGACACTCAACGATATCCTCAAGAAGTCTCCAGGTAAACTCCACACGCTATGCCGTAGATCTACGATGACGCTAATCTCTCTTGCAAAGTTGTCATCTTCTCGAAGACGTTCTGCCCTTACTCGAAACGAGCCAAGGGTGTCCTGCTCGAAAAATACTTGATCGATCCCCCCCCTCACGTCATCGAGCTCGATGAACATCCCTTGGGCAAACAGCTGCAAGCTAGACTGGGCGTCATCACTGGACGTGGCACCGTCCCTAACATCATGGTCAACGGCAAGAGCGTTGGCGGCAGTGACGAGATCGCCGAATTAGACGCAAGGAAGACCCTCATCGACAAGTTCAAGTCGATGGGAGGGAAGCGATTATCTATGAAAGAGCGCTTCGTCGGCAACGCCAAAGAAAGGCAAGGCTGACCAAAGGAAAATCGATATCGACAGGTACTATCGGGCGAATCGACTAGCTTGTACACATGGACGTGGACCGCGATGACGTGAACGGCCGTTATCAACTGCATGTATGGCGTTGGGGAGTTGGTTCCTTGCTATGTGTTCCCATGTGGATATTGAAGCTTGCTACAGTCTGGATCTGGGCCCAAGGCGTGGTCTGGGATGTTACGGGGCGTGGACTGGAATGCCCCTGGAGGTCTTAACTGTATAATTACGTGTCAACCCCCGCGCACAGTGGTGTGCGGACACGGCACTGCGAAGGTCGAGCTGGTAAGCCTCGAGGAAAGGGTTTAAAATAAGCGACAAGTCTCCGTTCGTCACGCGATGGCATGGCTTTTTAATCGTAATTCGGAAAATATACCTAAGAACGCGATGACCAGCGAAGTTCCTTCATACCACATACAAAACAGAGAGACTCTTAAGACTCACTACCTCTTAAATACGTGCTTAGGCAGCCCGTCTGTGTATAAGAATACCATGCAGCAATCGAGGCTACTCGACGAGAAGAGCTCCGGCGTCTGAGCAGAATTGCGCTCAAGCGTGCATTGGCTGCCTAACTACAGGGAATAGGTGATGCCCCTGTCAATACATTTTTTCACGCCTCAACATCGTCGTCCCTTTTCCAACGAGCATCTCATTCGTTCTGCCTGCGCATACATTTCTCTCCTTTTTATCTCTCTAACTGTATTGCGGATAGGCACGACCCATTTACGTGTTTAGTTTAATTTTCCAGTCAATCCGTCATCGTCGATCCCCAGCAAGCACCATGAGGGCCACGACCGTCCTCACATTCGTTCTCTGGCTCGCGTCCAACGCCGCCGGTAGTCACGCGGGGGGGCGACGCTGAGGAATTCGACCTGCCGAGGCTGGCGAACCTGACGATGTTCGCGGACGCCGGATGCGCCGACCCGGTGTACGTGAACAGCTTCATCCTCGGGCCGGATGTGTGCGGCGACGACAACGCGTCGCCGCCGTACCTCGACGCCTTCGGCTCGCTGCGGCTCGCTGCGGCTCAACGAGTGGCCGTGGTGCTCTGACGGCACGCAACAGCCCGTGTTCAACGTGTACGCAGACGGGGCGTGCAAGAACCTGATGCGATCGTACGACGTTAAGGAGTGGGCGAGCGAGTGGGGGACCAGCGCCGACCGCTGCGTCGCGCTCGGCGACTTCAAGGCCGTCGCGTTCCTGTGCTGGGGCTTCGAGGGCAGGAAGGGTGGTAAGGACCGCCTGGACAGGCCTACCGCCACCACTTCGAGCTCATCCTCCTCAACTCCTTCAGCTCCCACGACTTCTACTTCCGATGCTTCGAGCAATGCGACGGCCGAGGCCGCGGCCATTCCGCCCGCGGCTTCTGTAGTGTCATCTAGTACAGCCCCGCCGTCGGCAACCGACAGCCCCTCGCCGAATTCAGACGCGACGGCCGCGGGTAGCAGCAACGGCGCCAGCGACAGCTCCCCGACGCCACCGGTGCAGACGAGCATGGCGGCGACGGGCTATGCGGGGCTAGGTCTGATCCCAGGCTTGGTGGCGTCTTTGCTCGTCCTTGCGGCTGTGATATGACTGGGAACGCCATGGCCGCTCGTTACAGCTTTTGGAAAAGCGATAGCATCTGATACTCTAATAGCTAATTTGCCCGATTAATAGAGATACCACTCGCGTTGCCCTTAACGTCTCTCCCAGTCATACACCCCGAAAATGTCCGAACCGAGCAGTACCAGTACGCGCTGTATCTACCTATCCCGCTACGTCGTGTCTACGGTTTCCTGGGGCCAACAGGCTGACACAACGGAATCGAAGCAAAACTATTTCTTCAACCAGCAACGACGAAGAGGACGATAACACGCCGACAACGGTGAGAATGAAGCTGGTTGAATTCCGGAATAGACAATTCAAGCATCTGACACCCTTCATTTGCTAAGTAGGTGTTTACATTATGTGACAAGAGACTTCTCAGCAAGTTGGCAACGGACGATGGTACTTCGCAGTACACATTCCAGTATCCTATTTTATTTTCTTCCTGGTTGGTCGAAGTCCGATGATTCCTCAACAGCAGCATCTCGACCGGCTTCCCGGTCCAATCCCCAATCCAAGATATCCGGATACTTGTTAACGTAGAAGCGTATCCCCAATATCATCGCTATGCTACCCACGCAGAATGCTGCGGACAACGGGAACCCAATCGGATACCTGGGGGAGTCGGCAACCCTCCACGCACGCAGCGGAATCGTGGCATGTCCGACATAGGTTAGTGTGACAGCAATTGCCACGGTGATCGATCGGGCTTCGGGTTCCTTGCGAAGGATCTCCGCAAGCCACGCGACCAACGCGTATCCCCAAGCCGAGGTAGCAAAAGTGAGGAAGTAGAATGTCATGATTGCAGGGTGCGAGCTTGGCCACCCAGACAGAACCGAGGTCGCTACCAACTGTAAGGCGGCGGCGCCGCACGAGACCTGCCATCGCCAGCCCTTCCAGTCGCTTAGTGCGTTTAAGCCGATGTTGCAGACAATCGAAATCCCGTAGCCGCCGAGGGGGATGAGATTCACAGTGTATGTCGAATAAAGCGGCTGGCCGCTCGAATCGGTGACGCCTTTAAGGTACAGGAGGAAATAGGAGTTGGCGCGTTGCGACCACGCGAACTGAAGATAAGCCGCCAGGAATAGGTACGTCAGGGGACTCTTGACCAGCAACCGGAGCTTCGCTACCAGACGCTGGAAGGGGATCAACTCCGATGAGGTCACGCCCACCTCGTTCAGTCTCGAGCGTGCTAAGTCACGCTCGACGGAGCTCAGGTACAAGGCTCGGGTAATCTTAGGAGAGTCGGGAATGAGGAGGAATCCCACGGCTCCCCACACCATTGTGATGATGCCCGAGACGATGAACAGCCACTGCCAGCCCTCCAGACCGTTGACTCCGTTGAGGTTCCGGTACAAGGCAGCCTGCAGGATGCCCAAAAACATATTCCCAGCCACGCCGCTGACGCCGAAGATGGCCAGCCGCTTACCCAGCTCCTTCGGCGTGTACCAGTTGAAAATCAGGCTGACGAGGCCGGGCCAGGACGTCGACTCGAAAACGCCCAGGAAGAATCTCAGCGCGTAGATGCTCTTCGCATCGGGCGCCTTGTACGTCACCAGGGTCAGCGCACCCCAGATGATCTCGCAGACGGGTAGGAAGATGGACGGGCGGACTCGGGTCTGGATCATCTGGGCGGGGACGATGAAGAGCGCGTAGCCGATGGAGAAATAGGTGGTGAATTCGACCAGCTCGTTGCCGTAGAGCGAAAGGGATTCCTTCATGCCGGACACGTAGGCCTGCGTCGTCGCGGACTGGTCCATGTCCTTCAGGAGGCCGGCGATAAAGGCCCAGGTCAGGAGGAGGACATCGAGCTTAAGGACGACGACGCGCTCCGGGTCCTTGAAGTAGGGATGGACTTTCGCCAGCCATGACGTCGGAGGCACTTCCGTCTGCTGGATCTCGGCGCGGTCTTTGCTTCTGTCACGGGGAGAAGACGACATCGCGGCAGCGTGGTTTCTAAATCGCAGGCAGCTCCTCCTTGACGAGAGACTCAGGAATGGCCCGTGTCTAGGCAATGGAAAGCCATGTCTGCAAGGAGCGAGGTAGTCATAAATACATCGTCCTGCTACTCTGTCGAGAGATCCATCTCGGAAAAGTTTTTCCCTGTTTTCCTTTTGCAGCTGAGTAGCGCATGAACAAAGGTTTCTAGTGTTTCACCCCGGACCTATGGCGAAATCAAAGCTATAATTATGGCATCAACAGGTGATCGGAAGGTCTTCCGGAGGGCGGTGGCTGGAGAGGGGAACATTCGTCACTGTGTGAATCTCCGGCTTCTCCTCCATCGGGTTATCTGTCACGCTTCTCCATCCTATGTCTGTCGCTGGTAATTGGACAGGATAGTAATGTTGTGTTCTTCATCTTATCTCGTTACGCCAAGCCGGCGTGGCGATGCCGCCATCGCCCATGCTGATGTCGTGATGGCATCGGACCCTCGTCGGCTTCCATTGACGACCCGCCGGCGTCCTGATGTTTCGTGGAGCTCGCAAGCCTCGGCCCAAAGCGACGGCTAACTTTGCCATTGTAGGCTCGCGTCTCCGGCCAGCCGCAACGATGATGGCACGATACCGGATGCGAGGGGGGGACCTCGCCGCCCCGCCTACGCTTCCCTGGATCGGAGGGTCTATTCGCATTTATATAGGCCTGGTCACCAGCGTACCGAGCACACCATACCCCCCCAACGATTGAACCAACCAGAGAGTATCCTGCGCCAAGATGTCACCTGCACCGTTGTATCCAGCCTATCTCCCAACCCGACCGGACGGGTATGCGCCGACTTTGGACGTCCCGTACTTCGAGGCCGAAGAGCCTGGCAGCCGGGCAGACCCCCTCAAGCCGGTCCTTCGCAAGGCCGGCGCGCAGCTGAAGGACATCACGCCCAGAGTCGGGACAGAAATCCACAACGTTCAAATCAGCCAGCTCTCCCCGGCGGGCCTCGACGAGGTCGCCCTGCTGGCCGCCGAGAGGGGCGTTTTGGTGTTTGTGAGTTCTCACAGAAAGAAAAGTTTTTTTTTTTTTTAAAAAAAAAAAGAAAAAACGCACTCGCGGAAACCCTCCCTGACGAGAAGTGCGCGTGCAGAGAGACCAAGACTTCGCGGACATCGGATTCGACAGGCAGCGCGACATCGTGAACTACTATGGGCCCCTCCACAAGCACCCGACCATGGGGTACCCGGCCGGGACCGGCCCGGAGTTCCACGTCGTCTACGCCGACGAGACCGCGTAAGTCCACCCGCGGCAGACACGAGCACGGAGGAGGCGGAGGCGGCGGGCAGGCTCGCTAACGACGGAGCGCAGGGGCAACCTGAGGACGCTGCTGGGGCCGCACACGTCGTACGACCTGTGGCACGTGGACCAGACGTTCACGCCGAACGTGCCGTCGACGACGTTCTTCTGGGTGCTGGAGAGCCCGGCGTCGGGGGGCGGGGACACGGCGTTCACGTCGCTGACGGCTGCGTACGCGGCACTATCACCGGGGTTCCGGAGGACGCTGGCGGGGCTGCGGCTGGAGCACACGTCGGCGTCGGTGGGGGAGGTGGCGCGGGTGGGGGCGGAGCGGGCGCGGCGCGAGGCGGTGAGGACGACGCACCCGCTGGTGATCCGGCAGCCGGTGACGGGGCGGCCGGCACTGTTCGTGAACCCGACGATGGCGCGCCGCGTCGACGGCTTCCTGCCCGAGGAGTCCGACGCCCTGCTCGCCTTCCTCCACCGCCACGTCGCCAGCCTCGACTTCAGCTGCCGCGTCCGCTGGGAGAAGGGCTCGGTCGTCGTCTGGGACCAGCGCTCCGTCGCCCACTCCGCCGTCCCCGACTTCCCCGACGGCGAGCGCCGCCACATGGTCCGCATGATCCCGTACGGCGTCCGCCCCGAGCCCGCGTTCCCCGAGGCGCATCGCATCGACGCGTAAGGGCAGGTACGGGGTGCATAGGGAACGGGGGGAGGGGAGGGGAGGGGAAGGGGGAGCGCGTAGTCTCACCCCGAGCAGAGTAGAGGTAGGTATTAATAAATATCTAGCGGCGTGCAGGAACATCGCCACGTGGACGTAGGTATTCCACAGCACTCAGACGCGTGCGCAGTGTGAAACGGAATGTGTGAAAGTAGGCACTGCGATTTACTAGATATTTGAATATAAGCGTTGGTTACGGTCATTATGTCTTGTGTCTCAGCCTGCGAGTTGCCCCCCCATGAAACCCCCCCCCCCCCCCGGAACGGTCTCTCCCAAGCACCAACCCCTCACATAACTTGTCGTGTCGGAGGCAAATCCCTTGGCCGGCTGGCCCGCCTACTTTGCGTCCGTAAGCGAGCCTCGCTCGTCCGCTGCGTGAAGCCAGGTTAGTCTAGCGAGCGCAGAAGCGCAGAGGAACGGGGACTCGCCCTCGGCCGCGCGCAGCGCGGCGTTGCCCCAGCCGCCGGCGAGGCGGACGAAGTGGGGGGAGTGGATGCCGCGATGGCTGCGCGGACGGCGCTTGGCGGACTTGCGTCGAGGAGGGAGGGACGCGCGGGGAGGGGCGGCTGTGGCGGTGTTCGGGGGCTTGTCGAGGGCGGAAATCCTCGGATGGACCGGGCACTTATACACCCAGCGAACTCGGCCGTCCTGAACGGTGTGGGAGCCTGGTGCTCGCCGGCACGGGTGAGGCGCGTAGATTGTGGTGGCGAGGACCCAGCGCACCAGGCCCCACGACGCGAGCCTGGGGCGGTTCGGAAGGACGTACATCAGGCACTGCTCGTATTCCCTCACGTGGCTACATCATGAAGGGCCCCATTACCGACAGGTCTCGCTGGAAGGGACGGGAAGGAATTGGAAGGGCTGATAGGGCAGATTGAGGCAGGAGGGCTGGGCTTACGACCGGGTCTCACGAGCGCCAGTTGATGCTCATGATATGATTGGAATAAGGATATGAATTGACAGACCCCCGGGAGCGAAAAAGAGCCCTGGAGAGGTCGCGGCTGATCGGCTGTCCTATTCGCTGTCCTGATTGAGGGGCCAAGCAAGTCAGAAGATTGCAGGTTGGGTAGTACCCGTTTCCCCACCGGCTCGAAAAGGTCAAGAGGGGCACGGCTGTGGAATTACCTCCGGCTCCGACGAGGTGCCGCTGGACAGGGAGTAACCTGCTCATACGCACCAGCTTTCGGCAACGGGATCCTATCTACGTGTACGAATGAAGCGGCGACGGGCTGACACGCGTGTTGCTCCGTTTGGTTGCTCTGAGATCCCAGCTGCGAAACGGTGGTTTTAGCCGTGTTTATCCCTTCGCGTCGTGAGAAAGAATATCAGAGACCTTCGTGATGCGATGGGTGAAACTGTCTTTTCATGCATTGAAATAGGTATATAGGTACCGAGGTATTGGTTGTTTAAATTAGGTACCTAAGGTCCCGGCTGTGCTGATGAAGCTGTCTTTGTGAGTGCTGAAGCGTAGTGTGGTTAGGAGGTTTTCCGGGGCACGTAGGTACACTCCTCTAGGTACACTTTAGGTACTGGCAACAGGTCTGCAGCGCCTCGTGAAACATCTGTATTGGTTGCAGCATTGGGTACATCCGTCAACCCCTGTATTATCCCGTAATATCCTGATGTGGGGAGCTTCGTGAATGCACATATCTACCTACCTATAAACAAATCGCAACTTGCCTGGTTAGAATTCCTCTTCTCTTGCGACCGCCAGAGGTAGGTATTTGAATTCCGTGCAAGTTCCATGAGCTTCCTGTACCCTCTCTGCGCAGGTCTCCTTGTAAACGGCGCGGGACCTGCTCGGGACGAGCCATGCCGCCGCGGGAGGCCACATGAAAAACAGTGTTTGGCAGCTCAGCTCCCAGGTTCTTCGTGAGCTAACAAAATCGTAAATAGGCGAACGTAAACGTGACGAATCAATTACCAATAATTCCATTCACTACGCATACTCCGTCCCTCAGGGGGGGAGCATGCAAGTCTCGGGGTACATCTTCCTAGGCGAAGTGCAGGCCTTGGTGTTTTCTGTTTTGAACATTGCCCTCCCGTAGGTACCTACATCGTTGTCCCGCTGAGTCGACGGCGTACGAAAAGCGAGATGAAGGTTAGCAACCAAAGAACTCTAGCTAGGCGAAAGAAACATGATTACGGATGCAACAATAGACATAATCGCCCTGTATAATATCACATCGGTTGTCGCATTATGCGCTTCCTTGTTGATATGTAGGGTTGGAGGGACCGCCTCTACCTATGTCCTGGTACACAGAAACTTCTGGTGTTAATAGAGGTAGTTACTACCGATATTTTAATCAATACACAACACCGCTTTGGTTAGAAATGTGTATCAATCCTCCTCACCGAGCGTATTTCAATTAAAAACTACCGCAAAATATTTTCCTGTCCTCGACATACATATCTCGCCGTTTGCTCCTTTCGAAGTATACCGGGTTGGGGGAGCGTATGTCATGATGCAATCAGCTCAGAGGGAAAAGCCACGCGTTGGTAAGCCGGTGCTATGCCAACCCAAGCCCCTTCTACCTCGAGTGTTGTCGACGCATCCCCCCGCCCACGCAGGCAGCCGAACAACACTGTTTATCGCCAACACATACACAAATATGAAAACGCAGCGGCCAGGCAAGGTCCTTCAGAACGAGCCGTCTGGTGTTTACAGTTGCTCTGTAAGTCGTCACCCGAAGGGATCCAAAAGAGAAGTATCTAGGAGGCTTCGCAATACCAAACACCAGCCCAGGCTCAGTATAAATAAAGCTGACACAACGGTTTAGGGCGCCACCTTTGTCTTGTCATCCGAACGGCAGCAAGACACGCCTGGTTATTACTGGTTGGTTGGCAGCCCTACTTTATAGGATACTCAAGAGTATATATCTGCAGACCGGTGCAAATACGAGAGCCAAATACCAAGCCGACGCCAACCAGAATCGTAGACTGCGAGTTGCAAGGATCGACCAACCGCTGTCGCTACCAGTCTTTTTAACGCGCCGATCTACTAGTTCCTCTGCTTGGCGTATCCGAACCTGAGAAATCAACTTGCACCGTTGAGATGGGCATACAGGCCGCAGACATCGATTCGGACCAGGGGCTGGAAACCATGCTAAAGACCCAGCTCCGTCTTCTAGAACGTCTCCCGGAAAAGAACGAGCTCAACGAAATCACCTCCGCACCTCTCTTCACGTACCCGGTCTTGGCACACGCCAAAAAGCTCGCAGCCGAATCCTCTGCGCGATCTTTTTCGCAATATGCCCTCTTCGCTGGTGACTCCGATGGGTTGCGGCAGAAGGCAACGGATCCGAGAATATTCCACAATGTCTCGGCACCATCTAGTGTTTTCATCTGCGGAAGCCAAGGCTCGGGGAAAAGCCATACACTATCATGTATCCTCGAGAACTGTCTAATTCAGTCTTCTGAGCTGGGTTCGCTTTCGAAGCCTCTCACTGGCATCGTATTTCACTACGATACCTTCGTTTCTGACACCATGGCTAGCCCCTGCGAGGCGGCCTATCTAGCCTCCAACCCCAGCGTTAAAGTCCGAGTGCTGTGTTCGCCAACAAATATTGGCACTATGAAGGTAACATTCCTCGTCGCAAACCCGAATGCCTCGATTTGCATATGTATTCTGACCTAAACTAGAAGTGCTATGGCCGCCTCCCGAATGTGGATGTGGAGGAACTGCGTCTGAAAGAGTCGCATCTCAACACGAAGCGAATGCTTGACCTCATGGCATTCGACGACCAAGGCTCCCCCTTGTATTTCCAAGTCATACAGCGCATTCTCAGAGAGATGCGGATCGCCCAGCAGAGCACCGGATCTGGTTTCAAGTATAGAGAGTTCACCAGCCTTCTAGCCGGTGAGGATTTGCTTCCGGGTCAAATACGGCCGCTGAATCAGCGACTCGATATGCTGGAGAGCTTTATGGTTCCTAGTGAAACGCAGTCCAACACTTCGTATAGCACGTGGGGGTGCACTGGTACGGACTGGACGCCGCGCGTAAGTAGTGTATCCGTGCCGATCACGCCGTTGGCCTGACTCTTACGTGTCGGCAACCGACTAACGCTGGCGCAGGCGAGTTCGCTGACCATCATCGACCTGTCGTGCCCGTGCGTCACGGCCGCGATGGCGTGCTCGCTGTTCAACGTGTGCCTGTCGATATTCCTGGAGCAGGACTCGTCGCTGGGGCGGGTGATCGCGCTGGACGAGGCGCACAAGTACATGGGGGAGTCGGCGGAGTGCGCGACGCTGACGAACAACCTGCTGTCGGCGATCCGGCTGCAGCGGCACCTGGGCGCGCGCGTCGTCATCTCGACGCAGGAGCCGACCATCTCGCCGAAGCTGCTGGACCTGTGCAGCGTCACCGTCGTCCACCGCTTCACCTCCCCCGACTGGCTCCACGTCCTGACCAAGCACCTCGCCGGCATCTCCACCATGACCAAGGTCGCCGGCCAGCTCGACGACGCCGACGGCGGCGCCCCGCTCGCCCCCGCGACCGAGGCCGACGGCCTCCGCGGCATGGTCGTCGCCTCCGACAGCCCCATCCTCGAGCTCTTCGCCCGCATCGTCAGCCTTGCCACCGGCGAGGCCCTCGTCTTCGCCCCCAGCGCCATCGTCGGCCTCGACACCCGGAGCGTCCCCGGAGGCGGCTCCCTAGTCACCCACAGGCGGCTCGCCCATCACGTCCTGCACGTCAGAGTCAGGGGCCGCATCACCACCGACGGCGGGCAGAGCGTCATGGCCGTCTAGATAGGCCAACGCATGCGTTCGGGTCTGGAAGGCGGGTGTTAAGTAGACTTTCTGGGCTTGGCTCGCCGAGCGCTGAGGGCCGTGTCATTAGCGGTGTCCTCGTGTTCTGCATTGGGGTTAGGTATGTGAGAGGCTACATAGTGTTGCTCCCTCTGTTTCTTCACTCTGGCCGACGATCAACCGAACCGAACTAGATCACGAATATGTAGGTATACTGAGACAAGGGCCCTTGGTTGTTTTATTTTGGTCCCTGCCAAGGTAAAAGAGCTTGATTAGGAGGTGACAGGTCTATGTACCTACCTAGTATGTAGGTATGTAGAGTAAGCAAGACACCATGTCGGGTTACATGGGAGACGCGTAAGCCAGTGGGGTCTATTTGCTACTACTACGAGTTGGATATATAGCAAGGCCGGTATTAATTCGACCTTCTACGAACAATCACACTTTCATGGGGTTGTGTCGTTGTCGTGGCAGACGTAGAGAGAGAACCGAATAAAAAGCTTGACGACTTGGCGAACCGGGGGTGCCGAGGGCTTGGGTGGAGGTACGAGATCCTCTCCTCCCCTCCCCCTTTTTTTCCGAGCATAGTACGACAAACTCGAGATCTTGAGGCGAGCGGCCGCGTTTCTCGGACTTCGATACGACAAAAAGCGACGTGTGGAGACGGACTCGTCCGCCTTAGCATTCCATTGCCGCGCGATTCGGTACCCGCCAGCGTCATGATCCTGGACCCGTCCAGCTCCCATACGCAGGCCTGGCTTGTATCCTGCCGATATCCTAAATTTAGATCTTGTCGCTCTAGGTAATCTGGTATTGGTGCCGAAGCGGGAAAAGTTCGGGGCTGCTAGACCTGATGCTTCTACCAAATCCGCCCATCCCCTCCCCGCGACGGCATGGTGTAGTCATCCCATGTGTAGTGGGTGGAAGACGACACGAATGCGATAGGCTAATGATGTTGCAGCAATGCTGGATATCATCCAATTCTATTCATACGTGCGGTAATACTGTGGCTCGCATGCGCAAACTATACCTACCCGACACTATAAAGTCATGTTATCTACGAGATAATAGAACCTTTCTACATAGTTAAGCAAGGGGTATCATAAGCAGCTCGAGAGGTCATACCCAGTGAGAGGGGCTTTCTAGCTAATAGTAGTAGCACATCGCTGGTATTATCCATCTCCATGTAACTGTCTTGAGTTGCCTCCAGATATGGGTTGGCTAATCTATGGATGCCCGCAAAAGGCATTTTCGTTATCTCTGATTTATTACCCATCAGCGTTCGCTAGTGGTGGCATACCTAAGTAGTAATTGTGCCTCAACTTGGTGATTTATACGAGCGGCTGTACGAAATGCGATGGTCGCTACGCCGCCGCTACAACTAATTGTTGGTGGGTTGGCGAGTCGGGTACGACATCTTCGTATTGCTGCCATTGCAGGGGCCAAGACCGAGTTGTAGAGCCTCAGCAGCAGCAATATTCGCAAGTAACGGATCATCATGTCTTACCTACATCCAGCATTACACATGCCAGAGGCTGAACAGATTCAACTTCTAAATAGATCCAGGGGTGAAAACTGTGACAGTGCTTACCCGCCGTGTTCTAAAAGACCTTGTGTCTCTAGAAATATAGGCCCAAACTCGCAAGTCTGCTCTTCTACGTGTAGTCATAGACGAACGTACGCTCAATCGAAAACATCAATACCGTCAACATGGCTGACAAAGTTCCGGAGTTCGTCTTTTACCGGTACCCTCCGTCGATGGCCGCTGCTATCGTATTTGTTGCTATATTCGCTATATCAGCTCTCACCCATATCAGCCAACTGGTCCGGAAGAGGACCTGGTACTTCATCCCCTTCCTTCTCGGATGCCTCTGTAAGTAGGCACAGTTATACCAACCCATCCTCGGCACAACGACGCCGACCGGCGCGTAGGCTCCGGAAACCGAGTTACTGATTATCCCGCGCGTAGTCGAAGGCATCGGCTACCTAGGCCGAGCACTTTCGTCGACTGAACACCCCAACTTCACGAAAGTCCCGTACATCGTGCAGTCCATCCTCCTCCTCCTCGGACCCACCCTGTTCGCGGCTTCCATCTACATGATTCTGGGCCGACTGGCCAATCTTCTCGAGGGCGAATCGTATTCGATCATCCCGCCGAAGTGGCTGACGAAGGTCTTCGTCCTCGGCGACATCCTCTCCTTCTTCGCCCAGGGAGGCGGTAAGCCGGCGTCCCGACTCCTCCGCGCACCGATGCGCCAGTGATGTATTATGCTAATGCGGTGTCTCCCGCAGGAGGTGGCATGCTCGCGCAGGCGAAATCCCGAGACGACGTCCGCATGGGCGAGAACGTTATTATCGGCGGCCTGGGTATCCAAATCCTGTTCTTCGGCTTCTTCATGGTGGTCACCATGGTCTTCCACGCGCGCATATCCAACAAGCCTACCCGCGCCTCGCTGACGCTGACTACCCCATAGGCGAAGCTCCTCGTCGCTCTATATGTCACCAGCTTCCTCATCATGGTCCGATCCGTATATCGCGTGGTCGAGTACGTCACGGGTTCGGAAGGCGAGCTGATGTCGAAGGAGGCGTATCTGTACTGCTTGGACGCTCTCCCCATACTAGTGGTTGCGCTTACCTACAACTGGTTCCATCCCAGCCGAGTCATCGACCGACACCGGTTCAAGCACGTCTCGGTTACAAGTCTGGAAGTTTTAGGTTGAAGTGACGCACCATTTTAGGTCTCCTAAACCGAGTGCGTAACTCTTCGGATGCTGGCGGGCAATCGATATTGCTAGCGTAGAGATTTTGGGATGCTATAAGCTATCTCAGATACTAAACAGGAGTACTTGGAGTTTTCGTTTGTACTGAGGATAATATCACTAGACATGCGGGAGTGGGAATGAAAACGGACACCAACTGACAGATATTAGAAAAGAAAGAAAGAAAAAGACAAAGTACCCTACCCCCCAATAAACCATGGCTTATGTCTAAATCACGTCAATGTTTACGGGGACTTCAAGATACACGTTATCAGCGAAACTCGGGGACGAGTAGTAGAGAAGCAAATCGAAAACCTAACTATTCCCATTTCTCATAGGCCTTTATATCCCCAACTCCTATCTTCTTCTAAAATGATACAAATCTAAAATAGTAATTGATAAACGTTTAACATGTGGTCACGCCCTTCCAAGCAGAACCGCTGACATCACCGCTGACCCCTATATAGACTAAGGAGATCATCGGCGGCCGTCTCGACCTTGCCGTCGATGCCGTACCAGAAGTGCTGCGGCGTCAGCATCCAGCGCCGGATATGGCCGTTGAGAATATCGGTCGCGAGGTTGTCGAGTTGTCGCATCGCCTGGCTCGGGAGCTCGATGAGGAGGCCCGCGAGCGCCTTCTTCTGGGCCGCGTTCATTCCCACGGCGTCAACTTCCCTCCAGATGGCCTTGAGCCTCTCGATGAATGCGACGGGTCCCCGGGGGAAGTCCTCTGCCGGGTTGGTGCAGAGGGGGTCCGGCGTCAACGTCTCGCAGTATGAGAGCAGCGCCGTGCCCTTGGGTATAGCCGGGTAGTCGACGGTATCCCGCCAGGCGCTGATCGGGTCACCGAAGACTCCCAGGGCGATGACATTGCTGGCTGCGTCGCCAAGTTCGCCGAAGGCCTTATGGGCGCATAGAGCACCTTGACTAATGTCGAATGCGTTAGCCAGGGACCTGAGACGATCCTGTCAGACCTGGAAAGCTTCGGCGGACGTACCTCCAACCCCAGATGGCGATCTTGGAGTCCGGACATCGCGACGCGTATGTCTGCACAGCGGTGCCGAGCCCCCTGGCACAACTATCCGATCCTCCTTCCTCGGTGTAGCCAGCTAGATCGGCCGGGTAATCATCAGGACTAACGCCTTGAACCGCTATCTTGACATCTGACGATTTTTTAAGCAGGGCGTCGCGGAACGGCCCGCCTACCCAGGGTCCAAGATTTCTGGTTCAATTTCGTCAATACAATGAGAACTGGCGCAGTTTCGTGTCTGTCTCTCGCTTACCCTTTATCAAAGGTCCCTCGGGCGAAGATCACGGCCAGGTCGCTGCACTGCGCATTCTTTTCTCCGATCAGTATCGGATCCCAGTCATTCGCGGAGACTGCTGCATCCTGGCGATTTATTATGGCCGTCGCCAGGATCGGGGAGGCTAGTGCCAGAGGTAGCGAGACGACGAAGCCGTATAAGGCGGCATATTTGAGAGTCGCACACATGATCGCGGATACGGATGACTGTGACCTGGGCACTGAGCCGGCGTCGGTAAGGTATAATAAGACGAGGGGTTGCTTGTGCTGGCTTGTCCCGACTTCTCGAAGATGTGAGGATGGAGATAGCAAGAGAGAGAGAGAGAGAGAGAGAGAGAGAGAGAGAGAGAGAGAGAGAGAGAGAGAGAGAGAGAGTCAACTGTATGTTTATAAATGCTCCCTATCGCCATGTTGGTCGGCACCACACGGGGTGTTTGGCATTCGGCGCTGTAGATGAACTTCGGGTCCTGTCCAATCACGGCGGGGGCTTAATATGGTTAAACGAGGCCAGGGAGACAGGACACTGGCGGATTGCTCGACGACCCCTTGCGACACGGTAACGCATCGAGTCTTCCGCCAACGGGGCGTGGAATCCCTGTACACCCAACACCTTCCTAAATAGAAGCCGGTCTGGTGCTAATTAATAGATCATGGGCAAGCCGGCCGCCAGGAGGTCTTCTTCTTTCGCCGTCACCGATGGAGTCGCCATTGTCCCACCTGTTTCGCGTGGCCAAGAAGAGTAGGTAAGTGGTTCCGATACCGAGATCGCGTACCGGTGGCAGGCTGCGCTGCGGCGTTCCTCAACACTCAAGATGGTCCCCTGGAAACGGAGCAGATCCAGTTGCTCGGTTTGGCGATTCTTCTCGGCAGTACCCGCTAGACCAAACTGTTTGAAACAATGCAAACCACTGCGACAGCAGCATCAACGACGGCATCTCTTCGTTTTGTTTCTAGAGGCTGGCGCAAATAGCGGGAAATTGACCCGATTAGCTGCTCGGGCAATGAAACGACGAACCTGTCCGAGGTATGAGTAATAATAATTAACGAAGTCGTCGTCAACCAGCCGAGAGTATTTTTTTCCAAAAAAAAACTATGGAGACAGCTGGCAGCAGCTGGCGCCGAGACTCTCTAATCGCTAGTTGAAGAACCACATGATCCCATCCATTATACTACCTTAGCTAGATCGCTATGAACTCATAGCTCGACTTCATAATATGCCAACAATTGCTATGGCTTTCGGCAATATGTTTCTAACGCTAAGCTATTATCCAGTATCCCTTCTTTGCACCCCCGGTAAACTGAAGTATGCAATGGAGAGAGCAAAAAAAACCCCGAAGGGAAAAAAAAACTCTACGTACAAAAAATTGTTTAATTTGTTACTTAGAGGCAGTGTAGTCGACCCGCTAAGCAACATGACTATAAGCAATATATAGTCCTTGGGAGACTGTGTCTCCCGCCCTCCTGTTCCCATTAGCGTAACCACCGCGAAGGTGTCCAAGAGGGTATCGGGGCCGGAGAAGAAGCGAGAGAGAGAGAGAGAGGAGAAGGAAACCTGGGTAGGGGAGGTTAAAGACGAAAGCAACGCCGAGTGCAAAAGCACCAAGATCTAAAAAAGCAGAAGAGCAGAACGCACGCAAAACAAACAACGCAGCAAAGCAATTCCGGAAAAAGAGAACGCAAACGCAAGAAGCACGCAAGAAGCACGCGGAACGCAAGACGCAAAACTGAAGGGACAAGCCCCCAGGCTGAACGCCCAACCACGGCATCATGGACCTGGCGTAAAGCCCTCCTCTCGGAGCCAGTGAATCCCGCACTGGAGACCCACCACAGACCCGAATGCCCTCATCCGGAGAGGGACTCCACAACGAGTGCTAGTCTCGATCTCAAACTGGCTCTGTTTTTGGCTTGATCTGCGTGTGTGGCGCGCATGTATGTATGCTGTGTTGTCCGCTGGGTGCCCAGGTGCCCATACTGTCAAGTGTTGCTGAATCTTCTGTTGAATCCTGTGTTACTGAACCCTCTGTTGCTGAATCCCCCGTTGTTAACCCCCTGCCGTCGTTGAATCGTTTGTTGTTGAATTTTTTGTTGTCGTCCGGTGTTTTCCACCAGTAGGCCTCTGGTGGTTGTCGTGTCGTCCAGTAGAATCCCCAAGACTGGTGTTGTATATAATAAATTGCCAGTTGTGAAAGCCTCCTCACCCCCCCCCCCCCCCACCAATCAAGAGATGATGCCGAGAATCATCAAGCCGTTGTCCAATGTCGTCCAATGTGTGTCGAGGTTGTCCGGATGCCAAAGTTATCAGACTTCTGATAACCCCAAGAGTCACGTCCCCCGACCACTCCGCCGCCGAGGGACGGAGAGCTTGGGAGAGCACAGTAAGAGATTTAGAGGCCTACCGACGAACCGTGCGACCTCCACGCGCTCAGCCTCGGAGACGAACTCGACGGCAGCCTCGCGATCGTCGGGCATCTAGGGAGTGCAGAATGCATCTGAGCGGTCCCTCTAGTCGCGCATCGTCGTCCACTAGCACCGAGCTTGCCGCACTGGCAGCACACCCAGGGACAAGTCCCCTCCAGGCGCAAAGTGAATCACTCGTGTGGTCTCACACACTGGGCGAGTTCAACCCAGTGCTGGAGTCCGGGACAAGCATGGGAACACTTGAGCTTATCTTCCAGATGGAGTCCAGGGACCGTAGGGTAATGAGTAACACTCTTTGTGGAGGTCACGAACAGCCGGGGGAAAAGCAGAGAAAAGCAGAGCAAATGCAGAATAAACCAACGCAAACTGAACCAAAACAAAAGAGAGTGGAGCAAGGTGATCAGAGCAAGAGTAGGTGAAGCAAGAGTAGGCAGGGGGAAGCAAAGTGGCAGCCAGTATAAAGCCAAAGCCAACGGAGAAGAGCAGAGCGAGGCAGAAATGAACAAGTTGACGGGAGGTCTGGGCAGGCACGGGGAAACTTAGCTGTCGAGGCACGGACTGCGCCCTGGTCTTGTGGTCGAGTTGTCGAGGTCTTGCAAAGTGAATGAGATGATGAAGTAGAAAAGCTAGATTCATAGGTAAGAGTCTAGCTCAAGGCCGATGAGTTGCAAAATTGAGGGTGATGGGAGAGGGTGATGGTGCGAGTTATGGAAGAGAGGTGGAGGTGTGGGTGGTGAGTTGCGTGGGTTGCGGAAGAGAGGGAGGAAGCAGTTGGGAAACGAGGGAGGAGATCTGAACTTAGGCAGCTCAGAATTCCCCGTCACCGCCTTTATTCACTAGGCAACACGCGTTGAGGTGAAGGGGAGAGCGAAAAGATTGTCGCGTTGGTAGGGTTGCCAGGGAACGCGACTTTGGGGAAACGATGATGACAGTGCGGCTGGAGAAGGGTTGCAAGACGGATACGGCTTACTTGAGTTCCACAGTGTGTAGCTATTGACTGAACACGGTTATCAGCAGACGAAAGGATGGGGCCAATGTTGGGTGGTGGGATGGCGGGAGAGGAAGTAGGATGATGGGCTATAGACGGGGTGGTGGATTCGCAATGGGTAGTTAACCGCGTGGTTGAAGATGGCAGTGGGCAAGGGGAGGGAGGGATTATGGGAAACAGGTGTCTCAACCTACGATGAGTAAAATGAGGTTGAAAATAGGATGAATACCCTGGGGATGTTGGGAATGTTGGAGGTGATGCCGGGCTGAAGCTAGGTATGTGAAACTGAAGGTGGGAGGAGACGGAGAGGTAAGGGGTGAGCTGGGAAGAGAAAGACGCTTTTATGGCCTTGTAATAGATCTGATTCTCTGTAATTATTCAAGCGTGAGTATTGAATGGCCCCTTTAGGTTGAATCAGAGTCCAAAAGAAGCATCAAGAATCAACCGAGGGTGAGCAACAATAACAGAGTGCTTTGACACCGGTGTTACCCGAGCAAGTAATGTTCGTATTTTCATACTTTGTAGGTATTCATTGGTTAGCATGGTACGTAGATATATAAAAATAGTATATTCAATCGGAATCAGATTCAGATTCAAGGCCGGCAGTTCTAGCTACTATTAACTAGCAGTGGTACTGAAGTTGTCAAGGTAACTGACTTACGAAATCAGTGAATAGGTCCTTGTCATGACACTCCCGAGAACCAAGGAACCCAGTTAGGTACGTTACACACATATACAAAACTAGATAGGCAGTAAATTCAAGGTGAGTTAAGTATACTCTATACCTACTTACGAATTCAAGCGTGTACTGTGGGAGGGTCGTTCTGTATCACTACTTACGACGGAGTATACTAGCATCACCCAGGTTTACCAACCATCACCACCATAGTCATCATCTACCAGGGAGAGAGTATCAATACCTGCCTACGGTTTCCTGTAACACACGTACGCGTACGTGTACAAATATTCCGAAAAGAGAAGGCCGAGTATCTTGGTATGTCTTGTCCGTCTATTGCACAGTTTCAAAAAGGTTCCTACGCCTGTGCCCGTGCGTATTGAGCGTTGTCTGGCATCCCTCCGACAAAGGCAATACAGACCAGTTGTGTGTAGGTACTACGGGTGTATTACCAACTAAATCAACGACAACTTGTCTTCCTGGTCAGCAGTTAGAGGTACAAATGTAACTACGTATTTGCGTGCCCCATCCGTCGTCTAAGGCCATCGTCATATCAGACGTGGTCTTTACGGTAATTACCTAAGCGGGTTATAGGCCTGCTATACGATCCGCTTTCGATGCCACCTTCAACATGCCTTGATATCCATGTTCGCTCCCCAGCGTCGGCTTCTCCCCATAGAATTTTTACCGGGTATTTCTTTGCTGGCCATCTCTTGGCATCGCCGCGGGAGTCTCTATTGTGTTATGTAATACGCTACCATTTGTTTCGTCGCGCTGTTGTGATTGTTGGTGGCATTTGCGCGAGAGGAAATCCGCCAGCTACCGCACCGGCCTCTTTTATACCGAGGAATTTTCCGCTGGAAGAGAAGCGCCAAAAACCGGGGTAAAGCTGATTTAGGCAATTGAGCTAATGTCTACGGAGGACGATGTCCCGGACGTCATCCCGAATTAACCCAACCCCCGAAATATTACTCCCACGAGCTAATAGCAGAAGAGAACCGACAATAAGTGACATGGACGTCAACGGGAACCGTATACAAAGTAAACAAGTACGTCGACCCTATAAATTGACGAGTCTGGGCGCTCGCGCCTTGGCACTGCCCACGTAATACGTCGCCGCTTTTACTCAGGCTCAAGCACACAGTTTCCCTCTTCGCCTTCTTCCTTCCCTCCCGGAATTAACTATACGTAGGATTTAATTGGGAAAACAGCGTTTTCCGTAGATCTGAGCGATCCCAGTAATGCCGGCGATATCCACGTCCATTCATGTCCATCTGGTTGCGTTGCCTAATTGGGTACAGTGGGGGGGTTTGTAGGTCGGGGTCGGTGTACATATAATTAGGGTGTAACGTAACGGTCACACTGCCGTCACTACTATTGTCACTGTTATGCTTACTTGTCTACGGTCTACTCTCCTGCCGCCTTGCTTTAGGTAACATATCACGGCTTACGGTTCGGATAGATAAGACTTAGTAGGAAAAGCTTAATTCTTCTAGGTTCTAAGCTATCGTTCGTAAAGCTAAAAAGCTCTAATAATTAAATATAGCTACGTTATTTTTCTCTTAATTTCTCGGGCTCTTATCCCTGCTTATTAATTTAGTTTTAACTAAGGTAAATAAGGGATAGGTAAATAGGGGTAAGGCGATATCCCCGGTCCCCGGGTTAGCTAATTCTTAGCGGCTTGGTTCGTTAGTAATATTACGCTCGTAGTATCTTATTCTGGTCGAAGGTATCGATAAGATATAGTATATCTTACTGGATTATTTCTCTAGGTTTTTATATAGGTTCTTCGTATTTCATTTATTTAACGAATAGTTTTTATCGTTTTACCTGGATTCGTTCGTTTATTATCTTATTAATAATATATATATTATATTAAATAGGCCCTAGTATTAGTTAAGGCTTATTATATAAGTTTAGAACTACCTTTCGAAGATAAGAGATGTTTATAGTGGGGTATTATTTAAGCTAGGGTAGTAGATCGAGCTTATATCGGTATAGGGATATCTTTTGGATAACCTTAAATAGGCTAACGTTTTTAAATAAGAGTTTTGTTTAGTTATTAAGGTAGTATTCCCTTTATCCTAGCTTCGTTAGGCGGACGTATGCTTAGTTTCCTAAGTCGTTAGGCTTAGTATAGTAAGAATTATATAGTAACTTTATCCTTAACTCTGCTAGGTTTATAGCGTCGAAGGTATCCTTACGATATTAGTTTTAGGCTTATAGGAAGTTATTAGTTAGATTCGGGTTAGCGATTAATTAGCGTAGTTTTATGCCGTATAGGACCTAGAATAGCGATATAAGGATGGTTTCGTATCTAGATAAGTTTAATACGGTAATTATATATGAAAGAAGTTCCGGTTAATATAATTAGTTAAATAAGGCGCTAAAGGATATTTATAGTATTATTTTAATGGCTTTTATTATTACTTTAGCTTAGTTATTTATAGAGGAATAATAAGCGGATATAAGTCGTATGTCGATCTTCGCCGCTTAATAAAGGGCTTATTAAAATTAGAACGTAAATTTAGTGTCTATATTTAAGATAAAGGCTTCCGGTAATTATTAGTCGGGGTAAACGTACTTAAAATATAATATAGCTTAATCCTTTACCGTATTTATTATCTTTCCGTATAAGGTCTTTTTAAACTTCGAGAGTTTATCGACGATAACTAGAATAGCGTCGTAGCTGCTTTTTAATGTAGGTAAGCTTACGATAAAGTCTAGAGAGAGTACGCGAAGAGGTTCCTTAGGAGGTATAATAGGTTATAGGTTTTCGACGGGCTTTA